TGTTCCACAGGTAAAGTCAACCCGTTACGGTAAAAAATCTTTCAAATTTGCTGCTGCTACTTTATGGAACAGCCTTCCAAACCATTTCAGGACTGAAAATAGTTTTTCACATTTTAAAAGTCTTGTTCAGTCCTGGAATGGTTTGGAATGTCGATGTTCTGCTTGCAGATAATTCTTGAGATGTTTATTATTTATGTTGCTTTTGTTTGCTCTGGTCTAGCATGTTTTATTTCATTTTAAATTTGTTGCTAAATTTTATTGCATGCTATGTAAGTGAGATTTAACTTCGTATAACAGGTTGTTTTATATGTCAAATTAGACTGTTTTTATGTTATGTATATGTTTTTATATTCGGTCAAAAGCTCTTTAGAGCTTGTGTTGTGTCTTTTAACTTATGCCGAATCAAAATAAAGTTTTCTTATCTTATCTTATCTTATACAACTTTATCTACACAATGTCATGTAATGAAATATATTCTTTAATACAAATAGATTATTATCTAATGAATTTGTAAATCTGGAACAGGATCGAGTAAAAATTAAAATTAACACACACTCAGATAATTAGTTCATACAGAATATCAAATAAACTAAAAAAAAATTCTTCGAGGCGTTTTCATCTAAATGAACGGACACTGTTTGGCAGCCGCCCACCCGCCCGCCGTACATCGCCAAATCAATAACCGATTTTTACTTCGAAAAACCGGTTAAAAAACGAGGATTCCGTTAAAAACTGCACGAGTTGACCGATTATATTAACAATTCTAATATGACGTCCTTCTTTCGCATTGTAAACAACAGCGTGATAAACTTCTCGATATATCTAAACTTTGCGCAGACTCAGAGATGTACATATTAATGGCTGTTACTATTTACCTCCCACGTAAATCCACATGTATCGTAACCCATGTGCAAACACTATGTGGATTTCGTTGTGTTCCAATTGAAATTGAAAAAGAAACTACAGTACCGTTATTCCTATTCAAATGCATAAAAATAAAATGCTTCGCCGAGCGCAGCCTGATACGACCGCAGAGATCGAACCCTGAATAGTTGGGGCAAGTTTGAACACAATATTCAAGCTTGATACTGTCTGAATTTGGATTGTGATCAAATTTTTGACATAATATAGGTTTCTAACACAAAATAAATGTGGTCAAAGACCTTAAAAATTTGAAATGGAACATTTAATTTACCTAGTATGGTCTGATATCCAAAATCTTACAACATGCTTACATTCAGCATATAAAACTATAGGCTCTCAAGAGCCTGTGTCGCTCACCTGTATTTACTGATGCTTTGGAAATCATGTAAAATAAGGTTAAAATCATAATTAATAGTATTAGATATTAGATATTATAATGATATCTAAGATAATAACAAAAAAATGCAAAATTTTTGTAAAATTACTTTCTCAGGGGCAGCAACCCAACAACGGGTTGGCAGATTCGTCTGAAAATTTCAGGGCAGATAAATCTAAATCTGATGAACATTTTTGCCACCTGTCAGATTTGCTCTAAATGCTTTAGTTTCAGAGATATAAACCAAAAACTGCATTTTACCCCTATGTTCTATTTTTAACCAAGTCGGCCATGATGGTTGGAAGGCGAGGTCATCGGACAAATTTTTTAAACTAAATACCCTAATAATGATTATGGCCAAGTATGGTTAAATTTGTCTCAATAGTTTCAGAGAAGAAGATTTTTGTAAAAGATTACAAAAATTTACAAAAAATTGTTAAAAATTTACTATTAAGGGCAATAACTCCTAAAGGGGTCGACTGACAATTTTGGTCATGACAACTTATTTGTAGATCTTACTTTGCTGAACATTATTGCTGTTTACAGTTTATCTCTATCTATAATAATATTCAAGATAATAACCAAAAACTGCAAAATTTCCTTAAAATTACCTATTCAGGGGCAGCAACCCAACAACAGGTTGTCAGATTTGTCCGAAAATTTCAGGGCGGATAGATCTTGACCTGATAATCAGTTTTACCCTTTGTCAGATTTACTCTATATGCTTTGGTTTCAGAGATATAAGCCAAAATCTACATTTTATCCCTATGTTCTATTTTTAGCCATCTTGGTTGGTTGTCGGGGTCATCGGACACACTTTTTAAACCAGATACCCTAATGATTATTGTGGCCAAGTTTGGTTTAATTTGGCCCAGTGGTTTCAGAGGAGAAGATTTTTGTAAAAAGCTAACGACGACGACGACGACGGACGACGGACGACGGATGCCAAATGATGAGAAAAGCTCACTTGGCCCTTCGGGCCAGGTGAGCTAAAACACCAAAAATTTAATTTTAGTTGAAATTAAACAAAGTTTAATGTTTGACCCTTCAAACCTTAATATGGACTAATTTGAAAACAGGGCCCAAAATTAATAAAATGCTTCGCTGAGCGCAGCAGGATACGACCGCAGAGGTCCAACCCTGAACAGTTGGGGCAAAAATGGACACAATATTCGCGCTTGATACAGGTCTGAATTTGGATTGTAATTAAATATTTGACACATAATAGGTTTCTGACACAGAATAACTGTAGTCAAAGAACTTAAAATTGGTTATACAATTTGAATTTATATTCAATTTTTTGCTTTTGTGCAATACACTATGCTGTTGAATATTAACCCCCCCCCCCCCCCCAAAAAAAAAAATATTTGAAGAAATTTTCTTTTTAATTTCTGAAATCTGAAATGAGAAAAATTGTAGCCCCCCACAAATTCTTATTTACCCCCCCCCCCCCCGAAATTTTTTTCAACTCCCCCTTTACCTTATTCCAAAAATAATCTCAATTCAAATTTCTAATAGAGTTTGCAACCATAACTACTCATTTAAATACATCATAAAATATTAAAATATAAAATGACATACAGTCATGGTTAAAATTAATATTAATTAATAGTAACTTCTAAAATAAATTTACAGCTAATCATCTCAAGACAATCATTATTTCTTAATACACAATTTACAAGCAGTGTAAGGGAGGTAATCAAACATATATACAACATTATTCTTTAAATGGATTGGATTACCTCCCTTACACTGCTTTTAAATTGTCTAAATTTTCCTTTAACCATTAACCCTTGTTTTTCCCCCTTTTTTGCCCCTAATTGCTAAATGGTTTGAGCCATAACCCCCCATAACTATCCCTTTGTTGTATGGAAACTTGTGGTATAATTTCAGAGAGATTCATACACTTAATCACAAGTTATTGTCTGGAAACTGCAAAAATGCTTATTTAGGCCCCTTTTTTGGCCCCTAATTCCTAAACCTTTGAGACCATAACCCCAAAAATCAATCCCAACCTTCCTTTTGTGGTTATAAACCTTGTGTTAAAATTTTATTGATTTATATTCACTTATACTAAAGTTATTATCCGGAAACCATCTGTCTTCGGACGACGCTGACGACGACGACGACGACGACGACAACGTGATACCAATATACGACCGAAAATTTTTTAATTTTTGCGGTCGTATAAAAATCTAAATGCACAATAAGATTCAGCATATCATAGAGCCGCAATAATTCAGTTTTTGATGAAATCAAACAAAGTTAAATTTTGGACCCTTTGGACCTCAATGTAGACCAATTAAAAATGGGGCCCAATATGCAAAATAGTAATACAAGGTTAGAACCCCCAAAAATTAAAGACTTAATTTAATCCCATTGAAATTGGTTAAAAGAACAGTTTTCATTTTCAATTGGAGATTTCTTGCTATTGCGCAATACTGTCCTGTTGCACAATACTTAGTTAATCTGTTATATATAATAATTTATACACCCTGTTTGGGGGTGTATCTCCTGCCATATCAGCATTTGTTGCTTTTATATATAAATCAGAAATAATCAATGTAAAAATAGAAAAAAAAAAACAAAAAATTATGAATAAAAAATCCCCTGAAAAAATTTGAAATTTTGAAAAATCTTGAATAAAAAAGAATGACCCCCCCCCCCCCCCCCCGTCCCCAAAAAAAATCCCCCACCCTCCCAAAAAAATGATTTTTAAAAAAAAATTTGAAATTTCAAAAATTTTAAAGAAAAAATTTGAACCCCCAAAAAGAATTTAGAAAAAAAATCCCCCCTAACATTTTGAACTCATCCCCCATCACCACCCCATCCCCCCCCCCAATTTTTTTGAAATTTTGAAGAATATTTTTTGTCAGGAAAAATGTACAATTTCAGAGAGATCCATAAACTTTAACACAAGTTATTGTCTGGAAACTAGAAAAATGCTTGTTTTGGCCCCTTTTTTGCCCCTAATTTCTAAAAGTTTAAAGCAATTTACCCCAACCCCAATCCCAGCCTTCCCTTTGTAGTATGGCATCTTGTAGTACAATTTCAGAGAGATCCATACACTTAAACACAAGTTATTGTCTGGAAACTAGAAGAATGCTTGTTTTTGTCCCCTTTTTTGCCCCTAATTTCTAACCGTTTAGGGCAATTACCCCCAAACTCAATCCCAGTCTTCCCTTTGTAGTATGGCACCTTGTAGTACAATTTCAAAGAGATCCATACACTTAAACACAAGTTATTGTCTGGAAACTAGAATAAAATGCTCCGCTGGGCGCAGCTTGATACGACCGCAGAGGTCGAACCCTGAACAGTTGGGGCAAGTATGGACACAACATTCAAGCTTGATACAGCACTGAATTTGGATTGTGATTAAATATTTGACACAGCATAGGTTTCTGACACAGAATGAATGTGGTTTAAGAACTGAAAAGTTTTTAATTTACCTATTCAAACCATATCATTATTATCTGCTTTTATATATAAATCATAAAAATAACCAATTTAAAATGGAAAATTTTAAAGAAAAAAAAATCCCTCCCCCAAATTTTTTAAACCCCCTTATGATTCATCACCACCAAACTCAATCCCAGCCTTCCCTTTGTGGTATGGTACCTTGCAGTACAATTTCAGAGAGATCCATACACTTGAGCACAAGTTATTGTCTGGAAAGTAGAAAAATGCTTGTTTTTAGGCCCCTTTTTGGCCCCAAATTCCTAAACTTTTAAGGCAATTACCCTCAAACTCAAACCCAGCTTTCCCTTTGTGATATGGAACCTTGTAGTACAATTTCAGAAAGATCCATATACTTACACACAAGTTATTGTCCTGAAACTAGAAAAATGCTTGTTTTTTGCCCCTTTATGGCCCCTAATTCCTAAAATTTTGAGGCAATTACCCCCAAAATCAATCCCAGCCTTCACTTTGTGGTTGGGTACCATACAGTACAATTTCAGAGAGATCCATACACTTGAACACAAGTTCTTGTATGGAAACTAGAAAAATGCTTATTTTTGGCCCCTTTTTGGCCCTTTATTCCTAAACTTTTAAGGCAATTACCCCCAAACTCAATTCAAGCTTTCCCTTTGTGATATGGAGCCTTGTAGTACAATTTCAGAAAGATCCATACACTTACACACAAGTTATTATCATGAAACTAGAAAAATGCTTGTTTTTTGCCCCTTTTTTGGCCCCTAATTCCTAACATTTTGAGGCAATTAACCCCGAAATCTATCCCAACATTCCCTTTGTGATATGGAACCTTGTGGTACAATGTCAGAGAGATCCATACACTAACACACAAGTTATGTCTGGAAGTTACAAAATGCTTATTTTTGGCCCCTTTTTGGCCCCTAATTCCATAAATGTTGGTACCATAACCCCCAAAATCAATCCCAACCTTCTTTTTGTGGTATTGAACCTTATGGTAAAATTTCATAGAGATCCATTCACTTAAACTAAAGTTAGAGTGCGAAAACCAATGTGTCTTCGGACGACGACGACGACGACGCCAACGTCATACCAATATACGACCGCAAAATTTTTTTGCAGTCGCATAAAAATGCTTGTTTTTGGCCCCTTTTTTGCCCCTAATTCCTGAACGTTTGGGACAATTACCCCCAAACTCAATCCAAGCTTTCCCTTTGTGATATAGAACCATGTTGTACAATTTCAGAGAGATCCATATACTTACACACAAGTAATTTTTGAAAATTTCTGCCAAAAAAAAGACAACCTTTATAAATTTCTTCTGATTATCAAGTACAGTGAAAGGAATAAAAGTTATCGCCATAGGTAAAATAAACGGGTAATGTGTCCCATGTACACAGATGAGCCCCCGCTTGCATATAACGTTATAAAGGGACATAACTCAAGAACCATAAAAATGCTGCTACCAAAATTCGTACTTGATCTGTTTTGTGGTAATAAGCATTGTGTATAAGTACCATAACATTTGGTTGTGGTAAACTTTATTTAGAGAACGGAAACGAAAAATTCAGTAATTTATCCATTTGTAAAGGGGCATAACTCTAGAACGGTAAAAGTGACGCCACCAAAATTCAAATTTTATCTGTGTTTTGTGGTAATAAGTATTGTGTATAAGATTCATAACATTTGGTAGAGGCAAACTTAAGTTAGAGAACGGAAACGAAAAATTCAACAATTTTTCTATTTGTAAAGGGGCAGTAATTTATCCATTTGTAAAGGGGCATAACTCTAGCAAGGTAAAAGTGACGCAACCCAAATTCAAACATGATCTGTGTTTTCTTGTAATAAGCGTTGTGCATAAATTTCATAACATTTGGTTTAGACAAACTAAAGTTAGAGAACGGAAACCAATTTCGGGACGTACGGACGTACAGACGGACAAGGGTGAAACTTAATGCCGCTACGGCGGTGGCATAAAAATATAAACCTCATTGATAAAAAGGTTGTTATATATTGTGAGGTTGAAAAGCTCAAGAAAAATAGCAAAATAATATATAGCATGCAATCAAGTGCTTTGATTTGATTTATAAGTTTTATATCAAACCATATTTATCTCTATACTAAAGAGAGATTGACGGAACTGTCAAATGTGTTGCTTTGTCAATACTGAAATCGTACGTTAGTAAATCGACCCGTCAATCAACCACAGGGTTACATTAATGTTAAATTGATTTTACTTCAACCTTCACTCTTACACCACTAAATCTGTATACCATCTCGACATTTGAGGACAACATTTTATTTCAGACTGTACATGTTTTCTAAAATCTAATTACCCTTTCGTGATATGACTTGCCATCGATGTGGTTGACTACCACAACGATGTCAACAAACGCTGAATAAATGGACTGAAGTATCATTGTAAATAACGTTTACAAGTTGTAGAAGATGTTATAAAGCTGTATAGTAAATCAAAATATGGTTCAAATTAAATATAAGAACAGAGCTTAAATATCGTAAAGCTATGAGATAGCTTACAATGCAATTTTCAATATAATTAATATTTACATGGGGCATTACACTTTTAAAATTAGTTGATCGGCACCAATTTTCGAATTTGTCCCAGGCATTCCTGATATAAACCTCTGTTATAAATTTGATAAAAAAAACTGGCAAGAATTGTACGCATGAGGGCGCTTACAATGCAATTTTCCATATAATTAATATTTTTAAGGGGCATAACTTTTTTAAAAATAATTTATCGGCACTAATTTTCGAATTTGTCCGAGAGACTGCTAATATAAACCTATGATATAAGTTTTATGTAAATCTGGCAAGAATTGTATACGTGAGAGCGCGTACAAGACCGGACGGACAGACGCAAGGGCGCACAGACGCAAGGGCGCACAGACGCATGGTATTTCTATGTCCCATGCAACGCGTTGCGCAGGACCATAAAGATCAAACTTCAAAGAAAGAGAGACACAAAACTGTTACCCTCTCCCCCCGCAAAAAAACACCAACCAAACTAAAAAATGAAAGTGCTCAAAGGAGGTATAAGTAATCTAAGATGATACATTTCATTTGTCTCGTTCTCAAAGCAAAGTGTTCCTTGTACCTTATATTATCATTGCAAGAGTGCACACGCTGAAATATCTTGCCAGCTTTATTGACCATGACTGATTTAATATTGAATGTCTGAAAGATAATGGTAACAACTATCGCATTAACTTAACATAACCAATGATCCATGACAATAAGGTCAAGGTCAGACAGACATGTTCACATTACAATCATTCCTTACTGTCTGTCGATAATTTTATTTTGGCATTGCACAATTCATGTCTTGTTGTTCGGTGTGAGCCAAGGCTCCGTGTTGAAGACCGTACTTTGACCTATAATTGTTTACTTTTTACACATTGTGACTTGGATGGAGAGTTGTCTCATTGGCACTCATACAACATCTTCTTATTTCTACTTACACCAAATAAAGTTGACCTTTTGTGTGTAGTATAAAAAATAATAAAATGCTCCGCTGGGCGCAGCTTGATACGACCGCAGAAGTCGAACCCTAAACAGTTGGGGCAAGTATGGACACAACATTCAAGCTTGATACAGCTCTGAATTTGGATTGTGATTAAATATTTGACACAGCATAGGTTTCTGACACAGAATGAATGTGGTCTAAGAACTTAAAATGTTTTAATTTACCTATTATGGTCCAATATCCAAAATCTAAATGCATGGTTAGATTCAGCATATTAAAGAATCCAAATAATTCAATTTTTAATGAAATAAAACAAAGTTTAATTTTGGACCCTTTTGACCTCAATGTGGACCAATTTGATAACGGGGCCCAAAAATCAAAATACATGGTTAGATTCAGCATATCAAAGAACCCCATATATTCATTTTTTGTTGAAATCAAACAAAAAGTTTAATTTTGGACCCCAACTTGGACCAACTTGAAAATTGGGCCCATAATATAAAATCTAAACACATGTTTAGATTCAGCATATCAAAGAACCCCAAGAATTCAATTTTTATTAAAATCAAACTAAGTTTAATTTTGGACCCTTTGGACCTTAATGTAGACCAATTTAAAAAAAAACGGGACCAAAATTAAAAATCTAAATACACGTTTAGATTTGGCATATCAAAGAACCCCAATAATTCAATTTTTGATGAAATCAAACAAAGTTTAATTTTTGGACCCCTTTGACCTCAATATGAACCAATTTGATAGCGGGGCCCACAAATAAAAAATCTAAATACATGGTTAGATTCAGCATATCAAAGAACCCCATATATTCAATGTTTGTTAAAATCAAACTAAGTTTAATTTTGGACCCTTTGGACCTTAATGTAGACCAATTTGAAAACTGGACCCAAAATTAAAAATCTAAATACACGGTCAGATTCGACATAACAAATAAATAAATGTGGTCAAAGATTTTACAAATCTAATGCGCCATACTGTGCAATTAAAGATTACCTCCTCTAAATTTTTCAATATTTGAAATTTGAAAAAAAAATAATATTTAAAGAATAATTCTTTTTTAATTTCTGAAATCTGAAATGAGATAACCCCCACAATTTCTTTTTACCCATAATTACCCATTTAAATTTACCATAGTGCTAACTTAATCTATTTTATAATAGAATTTAAAATATGGTGTTAAATCTTTCATATGGATTTTTTTGTAAAAAAAAAAGATGCAACATTTGCAGATATTTTTACTGGTCTTCCTTTATAAATATGCATTTCTTTAAACATAATTTAAAAGCAGTGTAAGTGAAGTAATCAAAACGTTGTATTTGGATTACCTCGCTTACACTGTTTTAAATTGTCTTAATTGTTCATTAACTATTGCTTTACATAATTTAAAAGCAGTGTAAGGGAGGTAATTCAAATGATGTATTTGATTTATCTCACTTACACTGCTTTAAATTATGTTTTGTACTAAAGTATTTGTCCAATAACCAGGACAACCTTGTTTTCCCCCTTTTTGCCCCTAATTCCTAAACGGTTTGAGCCAGAACCCCCCCAAAGCAAATCCTAACCATCCCTTTGTGGTATGGAAACTTGTGGTATAATTTCAGAGATATCCATACACCGTTCCACAAGTTATTGTATGGAAACTTGAAAATGCTTCTTTTTGGCCCCTTTTTGGCCCCTAATTCCTTAACTGTTGGTACCATAACCCCCAAAATCAACCCCAACCTTCCTTTTATGGTATTTACCCTTATGGGAAAATTTCATAGAGATCCATTCACTTAAACTAAAGTTATAGTGCGAAAACCAATGTGTCTTCGGACGACGACGACGACGACGACAACGTCATACGACGACGACGACGCCAACGTCATACCAATATACGACCGCAAAAATTTTTTGCGGTCGTATAAAAACAGGAAAACTTGACACTGATCAATGAACCCTGACAATAAGGTCAATACCAGATAAACGGTGCCAGACAGACATTGACCAATTGCTTATAGTATCTAAGAAACGGACATAACCAGGAAAAATAAATATAAATCAATGAACCATGAAAATGAGGTCAAGGTCAGATAAACCCTGCAAGACAGACATGTTAAACCTTACAATCATTCCATACACCAAATATAGTTGACCAATTACTTATAGAATCTGAGAAGAGGACCAAACTACAGAAACTTAACATTGACCAGTGGACCATGAAAATGAGGTCCATGACAGATGATACCTGCCAGACAGATATGTACACCTAACGATCATTTATTTGTCTACATCAAATATAGTTGACCAATTGATTATAGAATTTGAAAAACAGACAAAAGATCTTAACATTGGCCTATGAACTATGAAAATGAGGTCAAGGTCAGACGAAACCTTCCAGACTGACACGTTACACTTTCAATCATTCCATACACCAGATATAGTTGACCTACTGCTTTAAGTATCTGAGCAACTGACGTTATCACGCAACTTTAACCTTGATCACTGATCCTTCAAGTTGATATAAGGTCGAGGTCAGGTGAACCCTGTCTGACGGACATGCAGACATTTCAAATTACCCATATACAGTATAGTTATCATATTACTACTCATAAGTGAGAAATTTACATGACAACAAGAGTGCACACACTGGAATGTTTCGCCTGCTTTACTTTCGATTGAATTTATGTTGAAAGACTGTAAAAGAAAAGTTTAACTTACTAAACGTATCTGTAAACAAAGTATTCAGATATTCTACCCTCTGAAATATAAAGCTTTATACAAATAGTTTACACCGCCACCGGATTGTAATCCCTATGTCTCGCATTTTGCGACTTTCGTCGCAGGCGAAACAAAATCTATAAACTGTTATCACAGAGATATGTCTCGCCTTTTTGTAATTTTGATAATGCAAATGTTCAAATTAAAATAGCAATACTTTAACATGTAAGTTATGCAAATATTCAAAGTCGATGAACCATGACTGAAGGTACATGGCTAAACAATCTCCATAGAATGAGATGTGCTAATGCTTATACAACTGCATACCAAATACCATTGACTTAATATAAGTCGTTCCCTTTAAACAAACCTTAACACAAACATTAACTTGTAAACTATGTAAAAGTTTCAAAGTTAATGAACCATGATCAGGGGTGGGGCTATATAATCTCCATGGAAACGAGACTTGCAAATGCCAATAAATTTGCATACCAAATATCATTGACTTAACATTAGCAGTTCATCTTAAATTGATCTAATCACAAACTAATACATGTAAACTATGAAAAGTTTTCAAAGTAAATAGACCATGACTGAGGGGGCGGGGCCAAATATTCTCCATGGAAATGAGATGTGCTAATGCTTATACAGCTTAACATCAATTAACATTGGCCTACCACTAATGGTCCCCTTGAACTGACCTAATCACAAACTAATACATGTTAACTTAGCAAAGTTTTCAAAGTCTATAGACCATGACTAAGGGGGCGGAGCCAAATAATCTCCATGGAAATGAGATATGCCAATGCAAATACAACTGCATACCAAATATCATTGACCTACCACTAGTGGTTCCCCATAAATAGACCTAATCACAAACTAATACATGTAAACTATGAAAAGTTTCAAAGTCAATAGACCTTGACTGAGGGGGCGGGGCCAAATATTCTCCATGGTAATGAGATGTGCCAATGCTAATACAACTGCATACCAAATATCATTGACCTACCACTAGTGGTTCACCATGAACTAGACCTAATCACAAACTAATGTATTGTTGACGCCGCCGTCGCCGTCGCCGCCGACGCCGCCGCCGCCGACGCCGGAAACAGCATATCTATGTCTCGCTTTTTGACTCCGTCAAGGCGAGACAATAAACTATTTAGAAAACCAACGTTAGCTGCTTCTATGCTTTTTTAATGGCTCAAAAATTTATAAAAGTCTAGTGACATAACCATTGACAGTCTTCCAAGGTCAACTCAGTGGTTATTTTGATGGCGTCGGATTCTAAAATATGCACGAAATGTTGCTACTTTATCACGATTTCATGCATTGTTTATTGTTTCCTATAAGACTTTAGTTCTGGTCAATATTTTAGAATGTTATAAATCAAATTAAAGAGTTCGAGTCAAATTTAAATCTATGGTAATGCATTTGGCAGCAAATACCCATTTAAGACACATAAAATGTCTATGCAGGTTTCTTTATACACGTAGAGGGAACAGTTACTTTTAGTAATTCTAGGGAAAGTTCAGGTAAATGTCATTTTGTGATCATTACATGTAAAATCATCTTCTCAAAGGTATTCTAGCTTGGAAAATGTAGGCTGACTATAAATCTTTTCTATTTGGATTAAACCTTGCTGCATGAAACGCAATATAAAAATGATGTTTTTAATAAATCAATCAGAAACTTCTAAAGATTTAATGTAATTTTTGATCAGATGACACTTTATACACGTCTTGATTTTATTGTCGCTAAAGAATTACGTATACCGCCTACATTACTGTAACAGACTGGCAATCAGATTACAACATAATAACTAGTTGCACCTACATGTTCATTGGTGTAAGAATTCAATACAGTAAAAATTAGTTATACAAAATAGTTATCATTAAAATTCTAAATCGAAGATCAAATTTAGACCATTCTGCTAGTTACAGTTATTTCTAATTTGAAAGATTCAATTTTTCAGCTTCATCATATTTCTTGTCACGCCTACTATTTCTATATCGTTTAGTAAATACATTGAAATTGCAAGTACAATGTATTACCGTTTCCTAATAAACCATTATAATTTTCTCTTCATCATCAATTAGGTCAACGAGTATTTGGTTAGTTTATCAGTTATATAGAACTGGTTAACAAAACAGATAGGTTCAATAAACGCGGGACCATTTGCTTAATTATAATGCTCAAGCTTTTTGCGAAATCTTTTGATAACAAAAGACTAAAAAAGTAAAAGCCAAAGCTCTTGCCCGGCGAAAAAAAAACGAAATTATTTTACATCGGTGATCTTGAAAGGTAATATAAGGCATAACGCCTGCTGACAAGAAACACTAACAACATGGCAAATGACCTGAAAGCCACCACAAAAGACAGAAACCTATGACAAAAGACAGAAACCTATGACAAAAAACTTGAAAACCAAAATAAAAGACCGAAACCTATGGCAAAAGATATGAAAACAACGATAAAAGACCGAAACCTATGGCAAAAGATAGGGAAACCACGACCAAAGACCAAAACCTCTGTCCAAAGACACAAAAAATATGTAACAAAAGACCTGAATACTACGACAAAACACCGAAACCTATGGCAAAAGACTTGAAAACCACGACAAAAGATCGAAACCTATGGCAAAGCATGAAAACCACGACAAAAGATCGAAACCTATGGCAAAGCATGAAAACCACGACAAAAGACCGAAACCTATGGCAAAAAACATGAAAACCACAACAAAACATCTGAAACCACGACAACAGGCATGAAAGCGATGTGGCAAAAGACCTGAAAACCATGACAATAGACACGAAAATCTTGTGGAAAATGACACGAAAACCACAACAAAACATCTGAAACCACGACAATAGACACGAAAACCATGTGGCAAAAGACATGAAAACCACGACAATAGACACGAAAATCTTGTGGCAAATGACACGAAAACCACAACAAAACATCTGAAACCACGACAATAGACACGAAAACCATGTGGCAAAAGACATGAAAACCACGACAATAGACACGAAAACCTTGTGGCAAATGACACGAAAACTACAACAAAACATCTGAAACCACGACAATAGACACGAAAACCATGTGGCAAAAGACATGAAAACCACAACAATAGACACGAAAAGCATGTGGCAAAAGACATAAAAAACCACAAAAGACACGAAAACCTTGTGGCAAATGACGCGAAAACCTTGTGACAAAAGACCTGAAAACCACGACAAAATCCTGAAAATCACGTGCACGACAAAAAGACCCGAAAACCACTACAAAAGGCACGAAAACCTTGTGGCAAAAGTCCAGAAAACCAATACAAAAGTCCAGAAAACCACAACAAAGATCGGAAAACCAATACAAAAGACCTGAAAACCACCACGAAAGACTGTATGTCACTGAGAATTGAACGCATGCAAAACATTTGATAATAGTCAATGAAGTGTAAAATGTAGGTCAAAATTATTGGAAGCTACGTCCAAAATGCATCCTTTACATCGAGTTATATGATTGTAGGTGAATTAGTGGATATTTTTGCCTCAAACATAATTGAAAACTAACTCTATTCAATTATAGAACTGAAAGTATTTGCATGTTAAGGCAAAATTTCAAATTACTTCTTATCGTTGCTCTTTGTTGCAAATTAATACTATTTTATAAGAATAGAACATATTTGATTGAAAGAATAATTTTTAAATTAGAATTAACTTTCGGTTATGGAAATGGGATTTCAGGAAGGACAAATAACTAATGCAAAGAATGTCAAGAGAAAATGAAATACT